TAATAATAATAATAATAATAATAATAATAATAATAATAATAATAATAATAATAATAATACAAATTCAAATGTGCAGTACTAGAATAGCCGTACGAGATATCTCGTTAAATCCGACCCTCCCCCAGTCCTGCCATTTCCATTTTAAGAGGAAATGTTGATAATGAAACGTGTTTATTTGTTAATTACTCTGCACTTACTTTGATATTTGAAACAAATTGTCTGTGATGGTTTATTCAGTATAATAGGCAGATGTTCTTGGAACTATTCACAACACTTTGTTAAAAACAATTGAAGTGGAGTTTCTTGACGTCTAACGAAACAAAAATACCTCACATGGCTGGAAACCCTACGTTTTTTCTGCTCGCATTGAAAATTAGTCATATACATAATTAATTGCGCCACCACCCTCCATACACGTGAAAAAATAACCATCACATTGTTTTTTGGGGGGGATTGTGATCAGACCCAGGACTTGACACTTGTTTCTTCATGTATGTCAAAGTGCTGAATCCGAAGCCCGAATTGCGCCACCACCGTCCAGTTTTTTAATTGCGAAAAAAACATGAAATTTACAATTTACAATTTCACGGTGGTTTTTTCGCAATTAAAAAAATTGGAAGGGGGTGGCGCAATTCTGGCTTCAATATCGGATTAAGAGCGTGAAATATATCGAGAAACATGACTCAAGTCTTTGGGTCTGACAATAACCCCCGGAAACAAAAAATACAATGTCAAGGTCTTTTTCGCGATTAAAATAATTCTGGCTTCAGATTCGGATTCAGAGCGTCGGCATACATAGAGAAGCATGCAAGAAGTCTTTGAGTCTGAAAATATATTTTATTGTCTGTGCCTGTGTAGTTAATGTTAACAAATAGATACATGGGATAGGTCACGTGGGAGTACTTGGTTATTTGTACAGTACAGTTTTGTTTGAGATTGTTGTAAATCCTCGTGATTTTCAATTCCTTTTTCAAAATCTTCTATCAACAAAATCCGTTTCTCATTTCATGATTGCAGACTATCTGTAAATTCTTAGAAATTATTTTCATCTCGCGGGTTTCTCTGAGTTGCGAAACTGCGTAATGTCTCTGTCGGTTGAACTCTGAATCATTACTTTAACATACTGAAGTTATTTCAAATACACTAAATACTGCGCCACTGTTACGGTATCTATAAAAGGAAACTTTTCTTCCCAAACCGAAATAAAATTAACGGCTGGAGATGGTTTCCCACTCATGTTCTTTGAAACATCGGCAAAGGCCCACTGGTTTT